AGTCACTGAGAAGCAACAGCTGATTCTGATGAATGTTTTTCTGGTGTGTTCTACAGGGCAATGGTAGAACATGTCACTGAACTGTAGAACTGTCCCATGGGTGAAATATTTCACATGTATTTACCACAGAGAGAGCACAATGACCTCAGGGTGACGACAAAGAGGGCTCTGAGGGCAAGGGGTCTTAAGGGTTGTCCGAGGCCTTCTCAGAGCTGGCTTCCTCTGCTGGGGGGAGGTGCAGTAACGCACCCTACACTGACCTGTAACTCTTCTCCCTTATGCCACTGACACGGCCACCTGTACTTTCACTGCTACCACTAACTAGGTCATTGTTCTGACAAGCTGGCTTGCAGTTTTGCTATGGAGCTGTGTGGGTGCCCCATGAGCTGGTACAGAGCACCCCAATACCCTTTGCACAGACCCAGCCGTACCCAGGAGTTGGGAACTTGCCTGGAACTGCATGGGGCAGGGTAAAGGGAGCCTTGAGAAAACCCTGAGCAAACCTGATCTTGGGACAAGGCTTAGGTCCTTCCAGCTGCTTGTGTTTTAAACCCAACCCTGCCCACCTCTCAAATCAGGGGACGGTTGGTGCAAAGTCCTAATGGAGCTGTGTTGGGAATACTGGAACATCAACTCCTTCAACTTACTTTCTGCACAACTGGATCAAGTGTAATTCAACTGCAGGCAGAAAAACAGTTTACCAATTTTATAACTTCTTCATTCATGTCTGATAGTGGGCCACCCCTCCATCATTATGTAAAAACTATCACAAACACTCAGGAAGTTCATTGGGGCTCTGGGACAAAGTGCTGGATGTTCGTAAAAGCAGAGCTGGGCATAGTCATGCACACCTATAATCCCAGCCGCGTGGAAGGCTGAGGCACCCAACACAAACCAGTCCTCCAGTCTCTCTCCTGTTCTCCACACAGTGTGATGCTTCGGACAACTTCCGTTCAAGTCCCTCATCTTTCCAAACACTCGGATGAAATATACTTGGAGGCACAGCAGGTAAGAGCGCACAGGCAGAACACTAGAGCACGGGAGGGCACTGCACAGAGCACTCTTCGTCACCACTGCATTTATTCAAAGACAGCTTCACTTATTTCTAAAACAAGTTCCAAAAAAAAGCAACTCCAATCTTCTGTGTTAAAAGGCCTGGCTGCCATCCACCCCTCTGAAGATGCTCCCTTAGCACTCAAGCCTGGGAAGGAAGACAATCCCAATAGGAAGATAATTCCAGAAAACAAAAGCCTCCAGAACCTGCCGTCGCCATGCCCCCACTGCAGGTTGAGTGCGATGGGCAGACAAGTTCAAGCATGGGCTACACTTCTGTGAGATGCTCACTCAGGTGGACAGCAGACCCGAAGACAGGGAAGGATGCCCTTCCTGTGCCCAGGTGTTGGGAAAGCTGGCAGTAAACTCTAGTGGAGGCTACGTTTCTTCCTTTTTAGGAAAGGGGGAAGACAAACTGATCAAACCCCTCTAGGTCCCAGGCTCCCTGACCTGCCAGTTATATCTTTCAGGAGGAACTCATCCGAGCCACTCTACAAGGCTCATCTGTCCCAGGTCCTGGGCTGCAACAGGGGTCAAGAGCGCTGCTCAGGTGGGAGGTGATGCAAACACATCAGCTAAGCAGCTGTGTGAGGTCAGCTCAAGGTGCAGGGCACAGGGAGGAAGTGAGGCTGTGAAGGAGGGAGGCGTGGAGCTGAGACAGGGTCCTGGGTGGGGGCAGGGAGTTCAAAGGCAGTCTACCCAGAAGGCACTGCCACACACAGACCCAGCAAAGAAGTTGTATCCAGAATATAAGAATTCTCAAAGCCTGTAGGAAAACAAACCCCAATTCAATACCTGAGCAAAAGATCTGAACAAACAAATAGAAGACACATGGAGGAGCTTAGGAAATAAGCACGGAAAGATCTGACACCACTTGTCAGAGAAAGGTAAGTCATAGCTGCTATGTACCAACAGGCACGGCAATGACAAAACCACCATACTTCAAGGTCACAAAGCACTAGTAGGGCCCAGAGCCACTGAAGATTGCGGAGCTGCTGGGAAGGTAAAACTGGCACAGACGATGTGACAAAGTGGTGTGGCCAGTTTCCTATGCAGTTAAACACAGTTATCAAATGGCCACCAACCCACTCCTCAGTGTTTATCCGGGGTAAGAAAACATCCACATGGAACTCCATTGCAAATGTCTACGTCTTTATTTGTAATCATCCAGCACCAGAAATGACTCAAATGTCCCTCAGCTAGCAACACAGTGGCCCGCTCACGGACAGAACACTGCTCCCATGGAGAAGCACCCTGTGGAGTGGAGTGAGCTGGCTGTGGGCTATAGACTGGCAACTGATTTCATGCCCATACCACTGGGAAACTTCTGGGACAGAGACTGTTGGCTGTTGCCTGGGCACCAGGGACACGTGGATGATGACGTCATTCCCCTTGGTGGCAGACGTAGTGTTTGTCAAAGCTCTCAGACCTGCAGTGCTGAAGGGTGTGTTTTAGGGATACAAACTAAGTTGCAATTGAAAGACATCTGGAACATGGCACCAGGGGAAGGGATGTCACAGAACCTGGAGTGGCAGGTGGTGGGCTAGGCATGGGGTTCTGACGGACAGCAGGGAAGGAGTGTGGGCACAAGACAAAGGGTGGTGTGTGTGACAGTTCAAGCAAGAGGCTGACATGACCTGACATTTGATATACTAAAAAAAATTCTAAAAAATTATATTTAGAATTCAAATCTATATACTGAAGAAAAGTAATTGTAGGGGAAAAAAATGCCAAAATCTAATGAAATCTAGTACTTATGTGGAAGTACCAGAAAGCCCCAGGATGTGGCAGGAGAGAGATTTCCCCAAGGACTTGCAAGCAGGATGCAGCGAGGGCAGAGCCTGTGTGCGCACAGGTACGGTGTGTCGTACTCATGTGTTTGCACACACACACCTCCCTGTCTCCTCGTTCATCACATTCCAAGGATAGTATCTTTTAAAAACAGCCGCTGTCTCCTATGCCTTCTTCCCCTCTCTGCAATGTGATCTTTAAGGATGTTCAGATGCCAGCTACACAGACAGAAGCCTCCACATCCCATGAGGCCAGACCTGTGGCCTAATGACAACTGCTGGGCTTTGTGTGCACTGTGTGGGTGGACCCTGGGTGCCAGTAGAGGACAACCTGACACGCCTCGGTCTCTATATGAAATCAATGGGCATGATGAACCCACGTCCACAGAGAACCACTGTCCAATCGCTGATCAGAGCTCAGCTGAGATCTGTCCAGAACACCCTGAGGTGTTGGGCTTCTGAGCCCAACAGTGCACAAGAAACAGGTAGCTGAAGGCAAACAGTACCAAAAAGAGTGAAACAAACCTTTCAGAATCCTACTGCCACCCTGGTGCAGAGGCTCATTTAAAAGTAAACTCATAAGCTTTTTTTTGTACTTAGGGATTGACCCAGGGGTGCTTTACCACAGAGCATATCCCCAGCCCATTTTATTTTTTGAGACAGGGTCTAAGTTGCCTAGGACCTTGCAAAGTTGATGAGGCTGGCCTTGAACTTGTGATCCTCCTGTCTCAGCCTCCTATGCCGCGGAATTATAGGTATGCCCCACCTTGCCTGGCTTCATAAGCAATCCTTACATCAAGGTTCTATATTTTAAGAAAGATGGTCTGTTCTCAAACTGACTTCACTAATCTCAATAAACCCCTGCCAACTAATACTTGTAATTTAGTCCAAAATGAGTGCCTCCTCTTCACCAGCTTCACAGTGTGGGTGAAGTACTAGAGTAGAGAGATGCTCATCAGAGGGAAATGATGCTGCTAGACTCACAGGCTGGAGGAGAGCAGGACCTCTGTGGTCCCAAACTCAGCAGCATACCCAGCAGGAGTGCACGAAGCTGCCTCACCATTGTGCTCACACCTGCGGTGCTCCTTCTGCACCCTGATCAGGCAAGAGGGTGGTCTGGGAGAGACAGAACCTCTTGCTGATATCTGCTTAATTTCAGTTGAACTTTCACCTGCTGTTTGTGTTTGTCAGTGTAAATTTTACTCCATTTTAATACACCCTGCATGAGAGTAAAGGGGATACAAAGCAGGAAAAGCCTGAGGTGGACAGGCCAAGAGGCAGGAAGAGCAGTGGAGCCTGATGACAGTAAATAGCACAGGCACCAACATGTGCTCGGGGGAAAGGGGTCATCATGGGACGAGATGGGGAGGCTCCAGTGGAGGCCGGCTCCAGGTGTGGAAGTTGCATGGGAAGATAAAGATCTCATCCAAATGTTTCTGGTTTTGCTCTTGTTTTTAATGGTATTGGCGACTAAACCCAGGGGCACTTTACCATTGAGCTATGACCCTAGCCCTTTTAATTTTGAGACAAGGTCTCACCAAGCTGTCTGGGCTGGTGCCCAACTTGTGGTCCTCCTGCTCAAGGTCCTAATTCCTGAGTAGCTAGAATTGTAGGCATGCACCACAGAGACCGGCTCCTCATACCGCCTGTGATTGATGTAGTCAGTTCTTTTCTTAGTAAAAGGACAAAGCTCCCCCTATCCTACCTAGTTCCAAAACTTCCACTGGGACTAGTAGAGCTGTTGAGAACCAGCTGTTGAGAACCCAGCTTAATGCGACCCTCATGTGCAATTCTCCTGGGCTCTGTCTGGCCTGGCCCAAGAGGTGTGAGGTGAATATACTAGTGGCACATCTGGACACTTATGGAAATCAGGAGCCTCTTTAAAATAAACTGATTCAGAAGAGGGAGAAGCCAAAACAGAGGCATGTGAGGGACTGCAAGGCACAGAGGCCTGCTGCCTGCCCAGGATATGTGAGTGACACTGGCTTACATTTCAGTGGCAGCTGACGCCCAATAAGAGGAAGCACCCCACCCGGAGCCTGGGGCGGGGCACCTGCTGCCTCAGCTGAGCTCCAAGAACTCAGGGCTCCTTCCTCTCGGCTGAAGATTCTCCCACAGCCTTCTCTGCACCCTGCCCATCTCTGCGGCTATACTCACCTTGCTGGGGGTAGTGGGGTGGTGGGGCCAAGGCGAAGTCTAGCTTGTCCTTCAGATCCGCCTCATTCTCCTCCTGCCACTGCAGACCAATTTTCTCCCAGAGGCTGGCGGCCAACTGCCTGTGGCACGGGAAAAGAGCACGAGTCAGTATGCGGTTGTGGGGAGTCGCCTGCTGAATGGGGTCAGATCAGTGTTCACGAGTAGACAAGAGCAGGAAGGTCCCCTTCCCCAAGGTCCTGATGGGCTTCTGACTGTGTATTAATGGTACCAAAAGGTGACAGATTTCTATCCGTGGCTCAATCAAAACATTAAAAAGATGCAATGATGTCTGTGCAAAAACCACAGAGCCCATCTGTACACCTCAGGAGCTCATGACACCAAACAAAGGGACAGAGCAGGTCTCTAAAAATAGGGGATTCTGAAGTGAAGAGAAACAGCCATTGCTGTACATGACAATTCTGGAAAAGCAAGTCCTGATGAACCAGAAAGCAAAGGAGACCCCCGCTGCCTCAGGAAGATACACCACCCGAGCGGCAGGTTCGTCTTGTCAGCACACACACACTCACCTGATCTCAGGTATCTCATCATTGAAGCTACTCAGCAACAAAGGGATGAGCTTGTGGAAAAAGGAGTAGCGATCCCGCAGACTCAGGAGCCAGCCCCCCACCACAGAGGTCACCGCCTGCCGCACCTACAAACAAAGACAAGAGAGGCTTCACTCTGGGTGAAGAAAATGCCCAGAGTGGCTGCTGTGATGGCCGAGTCCTGCCTCCCAGATGTCCCTGCTACTCCAGAAATAAAGGCATGCTCCATGGCCTGGGCTGGGGGCCTCCTCTGGCAGCTCTGAGAGGAGGCGCTGCTGGGCCCTTCTGCCGTGCGCACCCTCTGGGCTGACTGGCCCGGTCCTCAGCAGCACCCTCACCTCAGCCATGGCTGCAGAGCCTCCTGCATGGGGCTCCTGGGGCTGGCTGGGTGCCGTCTTGCCCTGGGCATTTACACAGGCTGTGGCCAACTGCTGAGAGCCATAGCTAAGTAAGAATGACACAAGGCAATTTCCTTGTCAGCCTACCCCATGTTGCTTAGAGGGAGGACTCTCCATTGTGGAAACGGGCTTGCCTTGGACCCAGGTCATTTGCAGTGACATTGCATGTATGTTTGAGAAAGGTGACCCTGCTGAAGGACCAGGGTGGATCCGGGTTTAGGGAGGATCCTGCTGGATTAGGGTGGGTCCAGGTTTAGGATATATCCTGCTGGGAATAGGGCGTATCCTGCTGCCTCAGGCGCTGGCCCACCCGCTCCTTGAGTTCTCACGGGATTCAGAGAGTATTTTGGGATGCAGAGTGTGGATTTTCCCAGAAACGTGCGTGTAGAGTGCCGGTGTGAGTTCGGGAATAAAGAATTGCTGTTTGAATCTACAAGGCTATGAGTGGCTCGTGATTTTGTGCCCAGCCAGACTGCGGCAGCCAACTATCACACACAGAAATCTCTGGTCCCCAAGTGCTAGAGACTGCTGGGGAAGCCACTAGTGCCCCTCAGTGCTGATGCTGGCTGTCTGAGGTCACATGCAGGCCTCCCCTGATTCACCTACCACAGAGGAAGAAGACAGGCCAGATGCCCCATCCCAGCTCCCTAAGAGCAGATACCAGGACATGGCACCATAATTTACTGGGAGAGGGAAGTAGGCTGAGACTGGGAAGGGCCAGGCACAGAGGTGGCTCATCTCAGGCACCTGGGCAGCTCTGGACCTGGATGGTTTCACAGCCATCCCACCCCAAGCAAGAGGCCAACTGTGGTGTTAGTCAGTCACTGGCTGGGGCTGTGCGGGTAGCAGGAGGGGATGCTCTCAGATGTTCAGGCTGGTGTGGCTCCACCTGGATATGAGCCGTCAGCAGCGACACTCAGGAGTGCGCAGGGAAAGTGGACGTGGGCCTCAACCATGTCCACTGGATGCTTGTGCATTTGTACTAGGGGTGCTGCTCAGCCCTTGGCTCCAGCAAGGCACACAGATGGGTCATTCCCAGGCCCTGAGGCTGCTACCTGGGACTGGGGCAGTGCCCTGAGCTCTCTGAACCTCATTTTAACCTGGGGAGAAATGAGAAAGAACAAGTTGTCACTTGGTCCCAGCAAGAACTAAACACATTAGGAGAGGAGAGCACCAGGCACAGTGTGTGACACCCAAGAGGGGCTTAGCAGTCCTCACTCGCTCTCTCACTGTGAGGCACAGAGTAGGTGGCCAGGTTGGCACAGTCCTGGGAAGTCAGGAAGGGCACAAGTTGTCCAGAGTTCCCATGGACAACTTCTGCAGCTTTTTGTGAGCCTTAACCATTTAAAAACTAATTTTATTATTAATGTTTTACTGTTAACTAATATGACACCATTATTAACCAAAAACAACACATAAAGACCTGAGAAAAAAATAATCTCCTAACCATGATAGCAACTAGCAAGTGCTCCACCATGGAGTCCTCCTCCCTCACCACCTCACACTCCACGCCATGTGGGTTGCTGCTGATGAATAAGGTGCCTCGGGGCTTACCAGAGCTGAAAGGTACTAATTTATGGTCATAGAGATAAGGGACAAAATCAAGGTTCAGCCAATTCCACATGCTGCCAACATGAAACAAAACCTGCCAGTCACAGGGTTTTCACTGAGAAACCAGCTGCAGCCCACCCTGTGCCCACACAAAAGAGCAGGAGGTGCCATAGAGGGAAAGGCGCTCATGCTCAGCTGACACACCAGCCGGGTCTGAGCACTTGCAGGAGCCCCGTAACAGTCACCTGCCAGGATGCACAGGCAGCAGTGTGAGCCTGGGGCAGGTGAGCTGCCCCTCTCCTGGCGCTATGACAGGGTCTGGTGTCTGGGTCACCACAGATATGGCCTCTTCTGTAGAAATGAGAATTCACACATCATCCCTCATGAACCAGGACTGTGGGAAGAGTGGGGTTGGGGCCTCTCTTTCCCATCAGCCTCTAGTTAGCCTAAAAAGCCTACACAGTCCAGCCAGCACAAGACAACGCCACCCTGTCAGTCCCCACCACAGCAGGGAGTTGCCACCTGACTATGCCAATTTTCTTATATAAGCAAAATGAACTCTTGAGAGTTACTTGGTCACAGGTCAGGTTTGTGGATCACAGGGTCACTGGGATGGAGAATGTCACACTTGGTACCATCAATATAATCAAACGGGTGTAGGGTATACCCAACCCCCACAGCCTAAGGGCAGGAATGGCCGGGCAGGGAGGGTGGCCATCAGTGTGGTTCCCTTGTGGACACTGAACACACCGCTACCACCCAACCCTGCTTCTTTCTGCTACCCTGCCATCTGTGCTGCCCCTGCTGGCGGCAGGAGGGACAGACACATGGCCATGTTCCCTGGCTACAACCACGAGTGCTTTCACAGCCACTTACACAGGAAATACCCAACAAAGGCCTCACAAGATAACAACACTCACTGGTCTTTGAAAAGTAACCACAATGCACCAGCCTGTAACAGGCACAGTTCCCTGAAGGCCATCTTGCCAGCTAAGACACCTGAGGCAGGACAAGAGCAATGCCTGATAACCCTTGGTGACAAAAAGAACCTCCCTACAGGGAGCAGCCCTGCCCAGTCACCAGCCCAAGGACAACTCAAAACCACAGGTCCCAGGAACCTCATAGGGTTCAGATGCTACCCAGTGACCTAAGCCGAGAGCTACAGTTAATGAATACCCTATTCTCACTTTTTCACTGTCCTTGGGATCCCCAGGGAACAGAACTCCAGAGCAAAGACTTAGAGCCAGACACCCACATTCTGGGCCTGCTCTGCCACTTTACAAGCATGTTACCTGAGCTGCTTCCTCAGGGGTGAGACGGAGACTCTTCACTGAAGCTACAGACTAAAGTGATTTCCAGACCCTCACAATGTGGTCCAGTGACCTCAAGTTCATCAAGCAGGCTGCAGGACAGCAGTTGCTGCAAAGTTTTCTGGAAGGCAGATGGAGTCAGGACCTTCTGCACAGAGGATGTGGGGTCCCAATGCAGCCCTGGTTGTTGGGGTTTTGAGGAGTCAGCAAGTTGCTCAAAGTGGACTCAAGGACAAGGGCCACACAGCTGATCGAAGAGTGAGAAGGCAGCACTGGAAAGGACTCCACAGGCATCCCCACCAACAAACCCACACTGGTGTGCAAGCTGTCAAGTGACCAGAAAACAACATTCAGAATCCCACAGCAACCAGCCTGGACTCCTGTAAGGAGCAAATCAAATCCTACCAAGTCAAATACTACTCCTGGGTATTATGCAGTCCCCGCTTGCCCTCCGCTCTGGGCTTCATTCTAGGCTGCCCCCTCCAGGTGCTGCATGGCCACCAGTGGGAGTGGTGCTCAGAGACGGACTCCTCCTCCTCCAGGAACCTTAGCCTGTCCCTTTAGTCTAGTTGGGCCAGCTGAGGCTGGAGAAATAAGAAAATAAAATAGCCTAATATCGGGGAACACATTTTGGGGGATATTAAATCCAAAAAAGAATCATGGACTGAAGTTTTGGAAGAGCCCATCACCAAAGAAAACAGAATGCTGCCTTGAAGACCCCAGCAGGACAGTAATCAACGGGTGACATCTTCATTATCTGGCCCAGATGTCACCCAGAAGCCTGCAGTTATGCAGGGTGGGCCACATTAACTGTGCCACAGGGGGATGCTCTATTCCCACCTGTATTAAAGACAAGTCCTCCAGGATGCCAAGGTTAGGGGGTGTCTTACACCCATGTCCTAGATGAAAAGACAGCGATGGCAGCCATTTTAAAGACAGTGTTTACAAAGTAAGTTACATACATAGCTACTGATACATGGTTACTGATTTGTAGATAGCTGTCAATGGCCTTTCCTATTTATAGAAAGCTAATGATACAGTTGTACTATTTACAGAGAGCTCCTGACATATCTAAAATTTGCAGATAGCCATGGATACATAGTAACACTGTTTACAAATAGCTACAGAGGCAGAGTGTTAACAGCTGGCTGTTGACACAGATGTCTTACTTACAGAGAGCTCCCAATACATAATTAGTCCACTATTCTGAGGAATGACTTGGCCTGTGACACACAGAAACCAGATTCTCTGCTGGCTAGGCTCTACTCCACTCTTCAGGAGGTGAGGGCCCATCCTGTGTGGCCATGCTGTTTTCACTGGGATGGGTTCTGTCTTCTGCAGCCAGGTCATGGATTAGTGGTGGTGCTGACCAAGCACCCTACCCTGTCTTCTTCCTCCGTAGAACCCACCCAGTTGGATTCATTAGATTCAGCCTCAGCTGGCCCAACAAGACTAAAGGGACAGGCTAAGGTCCCGGGAGGAGGAGGAGTCCGTCTCTGTGCACGGCTCCCATTGGTGGCCGTGCTACACCTGGAGGGGGCAGCCTAGAATGAAGCCCAGAGTGAAGGCCAAGCAGGTGCTGCATAATACCCAAAGTCTGCCCCACATGCGGACCCCAGTGACACCCTCACCTTGCCACCTCCACGCCATTTCCCTCCAGAAAACCTGCATCYTGCTAAAACTCGCCTTACAGCAGTGGCCCTGAAGTGGAGCCAACACAATCGCTTCCTCTAGTTCTCTTGCTCCTCAAGATGGAAGAGGAAAGGAAATAGCACTCCTGGCTTCCACAGCTTCTTTCCTTTCCATCTTTCCACAAAATTGGACCAAGCCCTTGGCTTGTCCACACTACTTATGCACACAGGTTAACAGAGCAAAAACTGCACCTTAAACCATGCGAGGTGAAGGTTATAATGTGCAAATTCTTAGGAATATTTTCGGGGAAAAGGTAAATTCATATACGGTAAGGAACCCGGAGATAAGCACATGAAAAGATGCCTATGTCACTAATCATTAGGGAAATGTAAACCACAAACCCCCTTGGATGGCAATAATAATAATAAAATGAAAATAAGCATCCATGAGAATGTTGAGAAACATTGAGAAACACCTGTGCACTGTGGAAATGTACAACAGCACAGCTGCTGTGAGAAACACTTTGGAGAGCCTGAGGAACCTAACCATGGGGTGATCATGTGACCCAGCAATTCCACTCCCAGGTATTATCCAAAAGAAGTGAAAACAGGGACTCAAATACTTGTACACATTTCATAGCAGCATTGCTCAAAATAGCTCGAAGGTGGAAACAACCCAATTGTTATTAACAAACAGATAAACACAATGTGGTCCATCCTCACAATGCAATGCCACTTAGCCTTGAAAAAGAATGGAGTCCCAACACACGCTCCAAATATCAAAGGAATGGAGACTTGACCCACTCTACCATGTGGATGAACAGAGCAAACAGGAGACACATGGAAGATCACATATTGTAAGATTCCATTTGTAAAAAAATTCAGATTCATAAAAGTCAGAAAGATTAGATGGTTGGCCAAATTATATTGTTATATTATGTGCATATGTATGGATATGTAATAAATCCCATCATTAGGTATAACTATAATGCATCGGTAAAAAATATGAGGGAAAAAAAAGAAAGAATAGAGGCTGACATGGTCTCAGTGGAGGTGGGCATGGGGAATTACTGCTTAGTTGTTAGAGAGTTTCTGTTTGGGAACATGAAAAACTTAGATAGTGGTGACTGACCCATACATTGTGAATACAATTTAAAGTAACAAATTTACTACTACATGTTTTATAAAATTATACTGTAACATACCAAAATTCACTGACCACTTCAAATAGGTGAATTGTTTGGTATGTGAATTATAACTCAATAAAGCTGTTTAAAAACCAAAACTGGACATGGTGGAACACGCCTGTAATCCCAGTAGCTTGGGAGGCTGAGGCAGGAGGATCACAAGTTCAAGGCCAGCTTGGGCAACTTAGCGAGACCCTGTCTCAAAAAATAACAAATAAAATAAACAAACAGAATCACTTGGTGCTTTGATGGGGGCAAGATGGCACCTGGGGGGACTCCCTATTGCATATGACAATATCTGACATGCAGGATTCCTGTGAGGATTAGCTGGGGTGGTGTGTGGACAACACACTGGCAAACACTTTTGTCTCAAGAGTAGGGGCTTGCACCTGGATACAGCGTCTCAGAGTAGCTCAAGGTGACCAATGTGAATGGGCTCAGGTGGCCAAGGATGTTTTCTAGCTGCTCTGGACAACCATGATTACTGCTCCTTCCATCCCACTGACCACAGCATGTGCCCCTTTGCCATTTTTTCTTTGTGGGACAGAGACACCCTTAGCCAGCCTTTGCAGCTTGTGAAATTTCCACAAACCACAGTGGCCTCAGGTTAAAGACACTGTGAACTAGATTTGCCAATCCAGTGCTCTGATCACCACCAATCAGGCTTCTGCCTGCCTGTCTCCAAGTGGGTCCCAATCCCCAATAGCATGAATTGTCCCTACACTTCTGACTACACCCTCTCCTCCCAAAATAGGTCCTCCAACCACAGTGGATTTTCAGTGAAGTTTGCCTTGGTGAACTAGCACATAAAGGATGTTTCTGCTAACTGAGCACACATGGTTTAGATTTTTTTTTTCAAAGAGACAATAATTTAAAAATAATTCTTTCCCATGTCTTTTAGAATGAAGAATAGCACTAACATGTTAAAACAACTTGGCTCCCTCCAGTTCCTCAGGATATGAAACAGCAGCATCCTATGAACAAATGATGAACATATGAAATCTTGAAATGTAAAAATCCAGTGAGTTAGTCAAAACTAGCAAGTCAGAGCCAGGCACAGTGGCACATACCTGTAATCCCAGCAGCTTGGGAGGTTGAAACAGGAGGATTGAAGCCAGATTTACAGATAGGTAGTTAGTGTAGTAAGGTAAATTGGGTCTAATATAGAGTAAGAGACCATTATTGAGAATGGAGTCTGGGAAATCAGAGCAGCACTTGGGGAAATTGAAATGTTCATGTCCCCAAGGTCTGGAATGCATCCTAATGAAACAGCTCCCAGCAAGCAGGGAAGTATTAATCAAACCACCCCAGGCCTTTCCTGCCCAGATTACTCCTCCAGCCCACCTATCTCCCACCTTTTGGGTCTTCCCACCTGCATTCTATCACTGCAGGAGAAAGGGAAACAAAGGACAGGAGTGTGGGAAGCTGAAAGAAGACCTTAGCTATAATAGAGGGAAGACCTCACCCTTTCGAGTCCCCTTCTTCCTCAGGGGAGAAGCCTTTTCTGCTGTCCTTTAATAAAACCTTCTACTTTCCACTCTACACTTGCCTCAGCATGTGGGGAAGCAAGGACTCGTTACCAGTAAACAGCGGGAACAGGATCATGAGTTCAAAGCCAGCCTTAGCAAAAGTGAGGTGCTAAGCAACTCAGTGAGACCCTGTCTCTAAACAAAATACAAAATAGGGCTGGGGATGGGGCTCAGTGGTTGAGTGCCCCTGAGTTCAATCCCTAGTACCATAAAACAAACAAACAAAAACCCAAACCAAAAACAAACAAACAAACAAAAACTAGCAGGTCAGCATGCTTCTAGAGGACACAGACTGTCCAGCAGAGAAATCCCTTACCTGAGGGACATCATCAAAGAGCCGCTGAGCAAAGTGGGAAAGCACGTCATCCACAGACTTCCCGTTGCCAAACTGGATCACTGTGCCTGTAGCTTCAATGACAGCCACCCGGACCTTCCAGTGCTGATGGGAGATGGTCTGCATCAGGGGGCCAATCAGAGACTCCGACTGCATGTGAAAGTGTTCTGTAGGGTGGGAGGCATCTGTCACCACAGCTTGCCCAGCATGCCCCACTTAGCCACTGTGGGCCACCAAAATATCAGACACCAAACATGTTCCTCTTTCCACTCCTGGCCTCACCCCTCACTCCATCCTTCCAGTTCCTGGAAGCCTTCTCTGTTTCTTAATCTGGCTGATCCCTCCTGTTCACATATTTCCAGTTTAAAAGGTCTTCTTTCTCTTTCCAAATCCAACCTGCTACAAGGGAATGCCCTGATTTGATGAGAGCTGGCGGAAAGGTGGAGAATGGACTAAAGGTAATCAGGAGAGAAGCAACCACCTACATTCAGGACTGCAGGCCAAACCAGAGACAAGCGGACTGGCAGTAGAGAAACAAGGGCAAAGTGGATGGGCTGACCAGTGTTTCTCCAGGTATGACTGGTAATCTCCACCATGAAGATAACGTGAGAGAGGCTGCCATCAATACCAACCAACTCAAGCCAGGCTTGGTATATGGGCACCAGTGGCAGATGTGGGGATCTGAGATGAGAACCATGCTATTAGGCCTGGACAGGAGCCACAAGGAACACATCGGGTGTTGAAGGGCTCACCCAGAAATGAGTATGGGGCTGGTGTGGTGATGAGGTCACCAGTTCATCTGGCTTGAATTAGGAGTCTGGGTAATAGGAAGGGGGCAGGGATCATGATGGGGGCTCATGTAGTCTGGAGCCAAGAGGGACTGGGGTCACGGCCTGGGTCTGAGTCAGAAGGATTCATCACCCCACGTGGGTCAGTGGGTGTGAGACTTCAGCAGTAAGGGACAGGGCTTATGGAGCGCATTGGGAAGAGGGGGGTCTCTGGGATCTTAAGACGCAGGGGATAAGGGTCATAGAGCGTGGGTCTGGGTCAGAGGTCCGAAGGGCAGAGGTTGCGGGGGGGTGGGGGGAGCTCATCCGGCATCCCTCCGGGGTCGCGAAGAGGGATCAGGGGTCACGGAAGGTCGCCCAATGGGAAGAGCGTGCGTTTGCAGCGGTAGGGGGAACAAGTCAATGAACGTAGGTCAGAGGGGCTGAGGATGCGGCAACTCACCTGGTGTGGCGCGCGCCAGGGCGGAGGCGCACTTGCAGCTCTCTCGGCGCACCGCGGCGAAAGGGTCAAGTAGTGCGCCCCGCAGCGCGCGCACAGCGTCGTCTAGGTGCGGAGCGAGCGCGGCGCCGCCTAGACCCACAGCCGAGTTGAGTAGCTGCACAAGCGCCAGACGCAGTTCCTCGCAGGGCTCTGGCGGTGGCCGCGCGGGCTCGGGCCGGGCCAGTCGCGCGGCCAGCGCAGGCATCAGGCGCGGCAGGGCGTCGCAGGGCCGCGCGGCGCGGCGCAGGCCCAAATCCAGTAGGTGCGCGGCCAGCGCGCGGCAGCCCTCGGCGGGGTCGGCCAGGAGGCGCAACAAGCGCGGAAGCAGCAGGCGCGCCCAGGGGCCCTGGAAGGTGGTAGGGTCGGCGCCGGGCGGCACCACCTCCTCCAGAGTGCGCTGCAGGGCTTCCAGCGCACGCCGCCGCCCCATCTTGCTGTCCGCCTCCAGGCCCGGGAGCAGGCGTCCCAACACGCGGCTCAATTCGGCCGCCTCGGCCGCCTCAGTCTCCGCCGGCGCCGCCATCTTTCGCGCGTTGCCCGTCACCAAGGGAACCGGCCCTCTTACGACGGTCGCGGTGCGGATTACGGCACGACTTCCGGCCGGCACGGCCTGAGCGGCGGCAGGGGAGGAGCTGAGAGAAAGCTTCTAGGAGGCCGAGTCGCGGGGCGGGGCTGGAGCCGGGTGGCCGGAGTGAGCCGCGTCTGGGTAGATTGTGCACCGCCCGCGTGGACCGTGGGGGACCCTGCGCTTCACCCTGCACGGTCCGGCCCCCTGTTCATGCGATGAGCCGCCGAGGGTCCCCAGGTAGTTGCGTACCGGCAGCCAGGCAGATCCCGAGATGAAAGTGCTCCAAGGAGGACTGAACTTTGTTTCCACGTTGACTCTCTGGTTGTTGACGGTGTTAACAGGTAGTCCTTGTGTTTTGTAAATGTCTCTGGGAAGTCTTCCGAAATCGTTTTTCTTTATTTGGTTTATTTATTTTTATGTGGTGCTGAGGATCGAACCCAGTGCCTTACGTGAGAGAGGCAAGCGCTCGCTCTACCGCTGAGCCACAGCCCCGCCCCGAGTCGTCTTTCTTTCCTCAAACCGGCGTCTGTTGGCCAGGCACCTTCGGAGACGCCTGTGAACTCTTGACAGTGCTGACGTGGAATTCCCGCCTTCCCATCCTAGGGTACAACAGGAGGAGAGGGACCGAAGTGGAAAAATTCCATGCATAAATGTGACTGTAGAGGTCCTAGGAGACCGAGTCTAAACATGATTGGTCCAGATATGTCAGAGTGCCGGAGGAAGTGGTATCAGAAGTGAAGTATGAAGAATAGTTTTGGTAACCAGGGGAAATGGACTTGAGGTGGCCAAAGAGGGAGGGAATTGCCCGGGCAAAGGCCTTTGGTAGGTGTCATAGACTGCCTGTGTCCCCCAGATTCATATGTCAAAGTCCTCACCCCAGTACCTCAGAACATGATCTTGTTTGGAGACAAGGTCTTGGTAGATGTCATCAAGTTAAGATGAGGTCATTAGAGTGAGCCCTGGACCAGTAAGATTGCTCTCCTCATGAGAAAAGGAAATTAGGGATCAACTGGCACATAAGGAACAGCCTTTTTAACATGTGGACAGTAGCTAACAAGCCAAGAAAAGAGGCCAGGAGGAACCAGCCCTGCTGCCACCCTGATCTGGGACTTTAGCCACCAGAACCGTCAGGTATCAGTTGTGACTTGGGAACTGTGCAAAGGAGACTTGACTCCTCCCAGGAGAGGAAGACAAGCTTCCTGTGGGTAGAAGGGAGGGGATGTCAGCAAAGCCTTGGTCAGGGCTGAGGAAGGGTCCTGGGTAGGGCATTGGGGATCAGTCATTTTAAGAACAACCGTGGCCCTGCCCAGGAACAAGCTGGGACAGGCCAGAGGGTGGCAGTGAGGCCCTTGGAAGGCTGTGGTCAAGGTAAGCAATAAGGAACATCACCTTCTCCTGGCCTCCCATTTGACTACAACTGTGTGCCCTGTTAGTGACTTGATAGCCAGTAAGGAAAGGACTTCAGTATTGGGAATAGGAAGATACACAGTCCAAGGGCCCAGGACTGGAGAGACAATTGTCCCACAGAGCTCTGGGTTTCCTTTTTCTCCTGTATATGTTCCTTCACTGGGTGCCATGCAGAAGGGCTAGTAGCCATCGACAGGAAATCTTCAAGTAAAAGCCCCTGTATCTGGCCAATAGACTGGGGAAGGAGATGCCCAGCTGAGACCTACAGGGGAGCAGCAGACTCACTCTACAATCTGCCCCCAGTACAGTTTCAAAGCCCCTTGTTCACACCAGGGTGCAGACCACACAGACAGCATCCATGAGGCTGAGACCTCCAGACCTTCTTGGCAGCACAAGGAGGCTCACTACAAGCATGTTTTGCACCTTCCCACAGCAGAAGGAGGCTCAGCAACACTGGGAGGCCTGATGAACTGCTCTCTCACCCTGTAGACAGCACCAGCAGGGCCAGAGGATAAACATAACAGGAAATCAATGCAAGGGCTCCGAAGGCACATCTGCAGTGGACAACAGGACACAAGCAGGCCTGAACCTACATGCTGCACCCAAACTGGCTGCCTGTGAAGGTAGAGTATTTTAAATAGAATCAGCAGTCTCTATCCCTAATATCTGCCATACATTTGAAAGTCACTTATACCAAGAACCTGCAAAACCAAGGGGAAAACAGCCAGTGTGAATGCCCAAATGAGTCAGATGTTGCAATTTGCCAAGGACCTTAAAGTTGTCATAAAAAGTGCCTTAACCAGGCACAGTGGTGTACTGGTACCAAAAAACAAAGAAACAAACAAACAAAAAAACATACCTTAACAAGCAGTTACAGGGCTGGGAGTGTAGCTCAGTTCTTTTATTTACAAGTCTTTTGTTGCAAGTGGAAAAAATAGGATATTTCAGCAAAGAAAAGTTATGGAAAAATAAAAAAATGGAATTTGAATAATATTGTCTATCACTGGAAGGATGCAGTGGTAGAGATGATAGAGCAATAGAATTTACTCAATTTGAATGACAGAAAATAGAGGGAAAAAGTGAGCAGAGTCTTAGGTCTGTAGGACAATAATCTGTATCACCAGCATCGTGGGATGAGAGAGAGCTCATGACTGAAACTCCCCAAATTTATTGAGATACAAATTCACAGACTCAAGAAGCTGAGTGAGCTTCAGGATAAGCCCTTCAGAAACCCACACTGAGTTTGGCATGGTGGTGCACACCTGTAATCCCATCAGCTTGGGAGGCTGAGGCAGGAAGATCACAAATTCAAAGCCAGCCTCAGCATCTTAGTGAGGCCCTGTCTCAAAAAGGGCTGAGAATGTTGGTCAGTGGTTAAGCACTCTGGGTTTAATCCCTGGTACCAAAAAACAAGACAAAACAAATAAACCCACACTGAGACACATCATGATGAACTTCTGAAAACTAAAGACAAAAAATAATACCAGCCAGAGGGAGATTATCCATTGCCTGAACAGCAGTTTGATTAGCAGCTAGAAGGAAGGGGTATTACGAAAACTGCACTGTGAACTTTATCCAGCAAACATCCTTCAGGAATAAAGATGTTCTCAGAAAAGGGCAAATTAATGGCATCTTGCTAGCAGACCTACCTAGGAAATGCCTAAAGGAAGCACCCTAAATAGAAAATTAWACTAAAAGGAGGCTGGGACCTTTAGACTGTCAAGAAGCACAATGGAATGTGTGAAAATGGAAGTCAATGTATTTCATCCTTTGTTGCAATCAGTGATAGGGTTTGAGTGGCCCCAAGCCTTCATGTGTTGAAATTTAAACTCTACCATGTGGTATTAAAAAGGTGGAAATTTGCCTGGCGCAGTGGCCCACACCTATAACCCAGCTACTCAGGAGGCTGAGGGGGATCACTGGTTTCAGGCCAGTCTGTATAGCTTAATGAGACTCTGTCTCAAAATAAGACAGGTTGGGGATGCAACTCAGTACTTGTCTCACATGTGAGACCCTGGGTTTGATTCCCTGTCTTGGGGAAGGGAGGAGTGGAAACATTCTATGGTGTTTAGTTGGAAATCTTTGGGAGGCGATTAGGGTTAGATAAGGTCATTAGGTAGAGCCCCATGATTGAATTCTGGTGGCTTTATGGGAAGAAGGAGAGGGATTAGAAGATGCACACACATGTACGCAAACATTTGTGCTTCCTTTCTCACCATATGTTGCCCTGTATCACCTCAGCACTCTGCCCTCAGAAGGTGGTCACTGAAGGCCACCCCTCTACCTTAAACCTCCAGAACTGGGACCAAAATAAACCTCTTCTTTATAACTCATTCAGTCTGTGGTGTTGGGCTACTGGAAACAGACTTAACCTCATGATTTTTAATCATATTCCATAGTTCAAGCAAAATTCACACTGATAAAGTGCTTGGTGTACATGGAGGAAATATTTATGATTACATTTAAAAGCAAGGAGGGTACAGTAAGTTTTTCACACTGTCCTTGGAGTAATAAAACACTGGTACTGGTAGACTAATCCATTACTATGTACACATTAATATCAGAACAATACTGAAAACATTGAGCATGGTGATCTACTCAAAATCATAAAATAGAATTCTGAATATGTTCAAACATTCCACAGTAAAGCATGAGAGAGGGAACAAACACAAAGAGTAACAAAATAGCAGACCATAGCCTTCCTGTGCTAGTAATTGAAATGTGAATATCCTGAGCACACCAACTGGGAGACTGGCACAGTGGATAAAATCCATGACCAGAATATTTTGTCTACTCTGCTGAAACTCCCTGCAGACATGAAGACATGGTGGATTGAAGGATGGGAAAGTGGCCATGTAAACACTGAAACAGAAGATGCTAGCTATGCTAATACCAACCAGGGTGACTTCAGAGCAAAGGACATTTCTAAGGGAAGAAGGACACTATCTTGGTGATTAGGTGATTAGGAAGCCACAACTATCCTAAATGTGTGTATCAAACAACAGGTTTTCCAAATAAAGCAGGTGTGGCAAGGTGCGCCTGGTGACAGGAAAATGAGAGAAATCTGCTGGAATGGTTGGAGACGTAAACTCTCCAGTCTCAGCGATTGCTAGGACTACTGGACAGACAGCAGCAGCAATCGGGGGATCCATTGACCTTGGCAGAGCATTCCCTCCGCTGTGAATTGGATCTGGAGTGTCCCCCAGGGGCCCTGTGTTGGGGCATAGACCCCAAGGTGGCACTGCTGAAGGTGGTAGAAATAAGAGGTAAGGCCTGCTGGGAGATCTTCCAGTCCTGGGGGCCTGCCCTCCTGGGGGATTGTGGGGCCCAAGTTCCTTCCTCTTCCTCTCTTTTTCACTTCCACATCCTGGACCTCAAAACAAGCCTTAGCAAATTTAAAAGAATTAAGTCATACAGTACATGCTTTCTGACAATAATGGAACCAAGTTGAGATCATTAACGAGATGCCAGCCCTGCCCCTTTGCAGGCCTCTGTGAGGGAGAGGAGCCTGTGGGTGGCCTCTGAGGAAGTCCCCAGGTCTATAATTGAAAAAACAAACAAAAAAAAAAAAAAAAAAAGGAA